GACGATGCAATTTTGCCACCGACCGACTGACGCGTGTGAGCGTTCCGGTCGTCGTGCGACGAAGGCTTGGAAAAGCACGATGATGTTAAACTCTCATTTGAAGATGTGCGAGATTCGGGGAAGGATATTTTCGGTTCGGGCGAGAAAAAGGATTTTTCGCAAATGCATTCGTTAAACCTCGATCCCTCTCCACACGACGCCCCGTGCCAGCCATAACCGAATGATACTCGACTGAGGATGGAGGGGGGCGACCCGCCTACTCTGATGCTTGACGCAGTCTATGGCTTGAGGTGGGGGGGAGGGCGGGTGATACGCATGCTGTTCTGCGTGTGGAGTCTGGGAGGTTAGGGTGGAGGACGCCTTGGAACGCTGTTTCGCTTCGCATCTCCACTTCCACTTTTGAGACTCTTGCTTTAACCCAACGGCGTAGCGTCGGGGAGGGAACTCGTGCACCATTCAAGAGAGGCCAAAAAAATGAAGGGAAAAGACCCACGAAACGCATGATAACGGTATCCTAGATGGAAAAAGTGGCCCCCCCCCCACACTTTTTCCATCCAGTTTATGCCTTGACCGTTGTTTGACCGCTCTCCGCCCTCTTTGTGGAGGGTTCGACGAAACGGAACGGGCCGCCTGGTTTCGATGGCTTCTTTGCGTTACGTACAGCTTTGTCGTGGCCATTTCGTCTTTCCGTTTCGCTCGCGGTGCGGTAGTCGGTTTGGGACTGGCGCCCGGGTTCGGTCGAAGTCGCGTTTGTCGGTCCGAGTCGCCTGTGAGAATGGGATCGTACTGGGCACGATCACCTTCGTCTCTTTGCGCTCGATCTACTCCCATCGTAAAGCGGCGAAAGAGTTTAACAAAATCGATGAAACGTCGTGGAGAAAACATCAGAGCAACCGCACCAACGCGGTCATTTTTTAATGCCCCCCCCCCCCTCCCGTAGCGGAAGCGAGAACTAATTAACTCCCACCACAGTGACTGATCTCTTTCGAGAAGGCAGGTGTCGCTCGAGCAGCATTTTGAGCGCCACCCAGCACCCACTCGGTGCCACCCACTTCGGCGAAAGGGGGGAGGTGGAGGTCACGGCCACCGTCATCCACGCGCCGCCGTGCGCAATGCGGCTCGGGTCCGTCCGATGGCCGAAGGGTTAAAACTAGGGCTGTCACGATAAATCGATGCATCGATACCACTATCGATAGTTGGAGATATCGATATTTTTTTCTACCATCGCGATGCATTGCCAAAATATTTTCAAGGGGAAATGCCCCATTGGATCGAAGCGAGTACTATACGATACAGTCAGTCCGGGTGGGGAAAGGAAGAAGCGGCGTGACCCGCATGGGCTTCCAATTTCTTATCGCAATCAAGTTCTGGGAATGCTGGGACTGGCTTTATGAAAGACGGGAAGGGGAAAAAAAGTCGGATCGGTGGCAGGAAGTGGGAAAGGAGAAGCCCAAGAAGATTTTTTATTAACGTCAGTTTCAGTCTCCGGCACGATCTCATCAGGTGCATGCTGCGTAAGTGAACTGTTCTTATACTCCCTTATATTCCCTTCATTTCGAAACGTGCATTGGTTAATCCCCTAATCCCCTCTCTATATTCCTGTCAATCACTTTAGTATGCAGACTTAACTTTCTTAATATTTAACTTGCTTTGGGGCGTTTTATCTCTACTTAAGGCGAAATCAAAGTGAATTTTTTACACGGACGTTGCTTATTCTAAGGCCGTACCGTTGTTTCGGCAACCGCCGGTATGGCACCATCGGCAGGTTTCCTATCTGCCGGTGCCGATGTCCAAAGACAGCGTAGAACGAAGAAAATTCGGGCCGTCCTGATGCATCCATCGATGAATGGATGCCATCGATGAATGGATGCCATCGATGAATGGATGCCATCTTCGGTCGTTGGAGGCATGGTAGGTTTCATTACTCTTTGCGAAGGTCACACATTCCCCTTGCGCCCTGATCACAAGCGTGAGATTAGAGGTCCGCGCTCCGATCGCGGCAAGAAAAGATGGAATCCTCCGGCGCAAACCCCCCCGATGCATCGATAACACTATCGATAGTTTAGGTCGATGCATCGATGTTTTGAAAACTGCTATCGCGACAGCCTTGGTTAAAACCCGTCCGCGTCGGTTCGGTTCGCGTCACCGTGCGGGTGTCTGCAGTCCACGCGCAGGCGCTTTCGATGAAAGAATTTCACGTTTTTCTCTCGGTGCTGAGATTAATCGGTGCGACGAGCCAGGAAATGTTCGAGAAAATGCGTGATTTTGCACCTGCAGCCCTGCCAAGTTGCCTCGTTCCAAACTCCACGCTCCTTATTTTGAATGGATTCGTTGCTAGACTAGAGGCAGGGCCGGATGAAGACGTTGCGAGGCCAGCGGCAAGTGAATTCTTGGGGTCCCCCCTCTCTACTTTACGCAAATATTTATTTAACGTTTTTAATTTCCTTTTGTGCCCCCCTCCCCCCCTTAATCCGGCCCCGACTAGACGATACAGCTTGCTATGTATAGGCTAAGAACACCGAGTACCTCTAAGTCTGTCGATGCTCATGGGTTAGTGCGCTTTTGCGAGTTCATGGCTCGAGTTTCGACAACAGGCGCAACTAGACGGTGCTGTTTTTTTTTTTGGCCGACTTGTGAGCTGTTCAGACCGAAGCATCTACTCGTTCAGAGTGCCTTGTCTGAGAGCAAACAAATACCTATTCATGATGCGATAGGCAACTCATGATTTTTCTTTTTCCGCGCGAGGAACGAACACAGGGCTTCGCCTTAGGCCTTAGTTTCTCTCGATTGAGATTCTTTTCTGGGTAATGTTGCATGGAGATAGACATCAGGCCAATTCCAATTTTGTGCATGCATCGTTAGGATATCAAAATTTCGCAATTTGGCATGCAACGCGAGAGCCACCAAAGTGATCAGTTGATCAACAGTTGAATAGGTAAATACAAGAAAGTGGTCGTAAGGTAATATTTAAATTTAAAAACGTACCTGGAAGAGATGCATGGCTTCGGTCCGGTCACGAGAATCGAGGAAAACGGACTGAAAAGGACGAGGTCAGAGAGAGCAAGAGGTCGTGGAACGTGTGACCTGCTCCACTTTCCATGGAATCGTGCTCCTTGTTTATCACCTCGGTTCTCGAATGCATCCCGGATGCGCGACAGGTGAGGGAAAACATTCCCTGCGGTCCGTTGTGTCCCGCGGTGTTCCGTCGGCCGGAGGCGCCCGTGGGACCGCGACCCCGCGGGACTGCCAGATCGGGGCGTATTCGACCTCCTTAGCGTCGTATTCGACTCCATTCGCGTTTCCATTGGGTTTCGCATCGTGCGCAAACTGCGTCTATTATACCCTGCCCGTGAAGATACCTCGGACTCAGCTCTTCTAAAAACGATCCGACCCTTTGTAGGGTAGGTGAGAAAAGCTTCGACCCTGCCATAAGTCCGCGTCGCACATTATATAATTCAATGGACAAGGAGAAATCCAGTCTTTTTCAGCCAAATTACGCCGATATCAGATCGCAAAACGTGAATGGGCATGTACACATCTTCCTTTCGAATGATATACATCTCAAAATCATTTTCTAAATGTAGACGGAGGGACGGATTTTGAGCTTGAGGGGATAGAAAATAAGTCTCACTTCCCCTACCGATGCGTCGAGCCAGGGACCTGGAAAAAAGAGCTTTGACATCGAAGGACGCCTCGAAGTCTGCCCAAGTTTCTCTTTCTGAGACCGAAAATTTTCATCAGGCGAAACGTAGACTTAACCTCGTCTCGTACACCAATTACCCTGCTCACCCTCCTCATCCCGCTCTGCGAGGCCGCACACATCTGCCGAGTCCGAACGTCACGGGTTCCGACCTCGTCAATATTCATGATATTCGCGGGGGAAAAGCCCGGAATACCCAAGAAACTCCCTTTCAAGTTTCCCCCGCTCTAATCCCGACTGATTGCTTCCAAATGCCGTCGGGGAAATTCGTTCAGTGAAGGGGTTCGTCCCCCGAGATCCGCGGATGCGATTCCTCCCGCGGGAATCGGGGGAATTCATCCGTTTGATGGATGATTTCCGCTCATAAAAGGTGACAGATTTCGCTCCTATCTTTAATTTCTTCGCGGAATCGTTCGGTCCCCGGGGAATCGCCCTGGAATTGCCTCCCTCCAGATTCTTTTTGCAATCGCCTTGGAAACTTGGGGGGAATCAGCTTTACATTTTTAACTTTAAACATAGTTAATTATTTGTCATCCAAATATTTAAAAAGTGGATTTCGTTGCCCGTGCGGGAATGACTCTCTCTGACGAGGATCATGGTTGCCACTCGGCACGGAGCTTGGTTGCCGTTCGGCACGGAGCTTGGTTGCCACTCGGCACGGAAATCCCCTTTTCAGTCATGCCCCCAGGGTCAGGTTGGGAGATTACCACTTCCCTGAAACCTCAACCTGAACTGTCAGATTCTTATCGGTTCGGGAATCGAAGCACAAAAGGACGAGGAAAAAGTGCCGTTGCACCAGTTCAGTAGTTCTCGTGTGAAGAAAACTTCACTTTTTGCTCGCAGGCTTTCATGCCTATATGGTCCCCACGCGATGTTATCGCCTTGCTATATTTTTCCTTCCGATATTTATTTATTTATTTCCAATGTTCTTTCCGCACACCCACCAAGATGGGGAGTGCCCCGAGTCCACGAACACGATTATGTGAAGCCCATGGCATGTTGCCCAGGGTTGCCATTCGGCATGTGGGCTCGCCGCAGAGATTTCTCAATAGATAAATGGATTTTTCTGTGGAATTTTTGTTTTCGCTTTGTCGGAAGGTGATTTCCAAGCTTTCAGACTTCGGAGAGCGTAGACGATCAGAGAGTTTGACGACAGAATCAAGAATTGCAAGATTTTTTTTTGCGAGCCTCTTTTGGTGTGGTGTTGCAACTTTCTTCGGTTTGTGGATTCGACGTGGATCTCGGTCGGACGGAGGCCGTTTAGAGAGGAATTTGAAACGCGGAAGTTTTCATTTCATAGCTCTTTTATTTCCCGAGAAGCAGAGGAGACGAAGAACATAAAGGACGAAGAACAGAAGGGACGAAGAACGTAAGAGACGGAAGAACCGAAACGGCGTCCGAATCCGGAACGTCCAGCCGCATTCCGGAACGTCCAGCCGCGTTCCCACGGAAAGGGGTCGGGTCTCGACCGCAAAGAGTGCTCAGAGGGTGTTCATAAGATGTTCGGAGGGCGTTCGTAGGATGCTCAAAGGGTGTCCACAGAGTCGGTCCGAGGTCGACGCGGTTGGAGCGGGGCGAAGGAGTAAAAGGCGAGTCGCTTCTCGGCCTGCGGCACGGGATCCTCCGTCGGGTGCCCCCCCGATGCAGCTATCAGCGTCTGGAGGTAGAAAGAAAGAGAACAGTCAGTCCACGTTGCGTCTCGCTCGGGTGAGGGTCTCGCTTGGGTCTGGGTCGTTTCGTGTGGATCGCGAGAGAGAGGAGGTCTCCGTCTCGAGTCGGAAACGGACGAGATTCTCACGAAGGGTCGAGAACGGGAACGGGAAGCTCTGCGTATCTCTCGGGCCGATGAGAGCGAAAGTCGAAACGAGACGAAAACGAGCGAGAAAACGAAAGGCATTTCGTTCGACCGATTCACAAGGTTCATTCTAGGACTCACTTTTTGCCCTGATATTTAAATGCTCCCGAGGAAAAAAGAAAAGAAAACACTTCCCTTTGGACCACGCCCACGTTTTCATTCAGGCTGATCATTGAGAGAGGACCAAGACGAAAGAGTTCATCTGCCTCGATGTCGACCCAATGTCTCTATATTGGGATGAGAGATTTTCAGAGTAACCAGAGTAGAAGCCGCTTCCGAACTTTTTCTTTCTTTCTTTCATCATCTGGACTCGGTTACCGCGCGAGACGCATTTGGATTTTGCCATCCGAATCGCGGAAACGACCGCGAAGCGTGAACGACGCGAAAACTTTTTTTCATTCAGGTAAATATTTTGATTTAAAAACCGATTGCCTAATGGGTTCCTCCAAGAATCGGTTCGACGGAGTTTCACCTCGCCCCCGTGACCTCCCGTTATGGAAGCGAATGAAGCAAACCGGATGGCGTCGTCGCGAAAGGCCGTTTCTGACGGATTTTTAAGGGCAATTCCGCCTTAAAGGGAAACGCGGGTGACACAGCGAGGAAATCCGGACGATTTCATTTCATCACGTATACTCGATGTTATTTATAATTATGAAGGAAACACGGGTACCTTGACGATCGCCAGCTGGACGTCGTGATCGAACGAGGAATCGGGCCGAGTCGGGAGATAGCGGGACTCCGACGAACGAAAGAGGAGACAGCAGACGCAGACGAAGACCGCCCATCGAGCCATGCCGAAGTGGAAAGCCGCCTGCGAGGCGAAGGTGGTCCGGGTCGAAGGTGGTCCTGACGGAGCGGCTGGAACTTTGGGGGGTCGGGGTGCGAGACCCCCGGAATTTAAAGGGCGATCTGCGCAGATTCGCCCACCCGTCGAGAATCTTTCGGAACTGGAAATTCTCCCGCGTGCCGGTCCCGTGGGAACGAAGTGACGTCTGGTTCCCAGAAGGAAAAGAGACGTGGGAGTGGTGGGCTTAAACGGATCCGCGTTCGACCTTGCAGACGGACGCGAAGCCGGAAGACGACGCTGACGTTTCCGTACCCGATCGAAGTCGTCTCTCGGATCGATTTCTTCGAGGGTGGGGACGATGAGGGTCGGCTTGCGTTCGATCCTCGAGCGTCGTTCGAGCCTGGAGACGCGTCTACCGCCTGTTCGTCGCCTTCGTCGGCGTCTCCATCGTGGGGCTTTTGGCGCGTGAGCTGCGTGTGCGATCCCTCGCGGGGGAAGGAACTCGTGCTTCAACTGGTACCCATCGTACCGGCGGGTAGACGGCTTTCATCGCCCTCGGCTTCACGTGGAACGGTGAGTGTTGTTAAATCCTTTAGTGGACCTTTCTTTCCCGAAAGGAAGGAGACTCCTTGTCCCGTCCAGTCCCGTCCGTCTGTCTGTACGTGTGTCCGCACTTTGTTTGCGCGACGATAAGTAAGACGGCTTGATTACGGCGAAAATTGGCAAGCAGGTGAACATGGACACGATTCGGGCCGAGTTCGTTTCGTGGCGAAATAGCAAAAAAGTTGCCATTTTTATTTCAAAATTTGAATCAAATTTCGTATCGGCGGAGAAGGCACGAAGCACCTCATACTAAGAATTCTGGACACTCTGCGCGAAAGCAGGGTAACCGCAATGGCGGTCTATGCCCTTGGTTGTTGGCCCGAGAAGTAACGTCAACGTTTCCAGGAGCGGAGTGCTAGTGTCTCTTGAAGGAATTCGCGCCATTTCCATTGCGCGTGACCGATTGACGAGGCTGGTGGAAGACCACGGAGAGGAGTTGGGAAAACGATGTTCGGAGGCTCTCATCGAGGGGGGGGGGGAGGGCTACGATTCTAGAATTCGGACAGAATTGCGAGACGATTCGTAGGTTACCTTTGTTGCGAGGAATCAGTTTGTTTTTTTTTGTTTTTTTTTTTTGTTAATTTACGAACTGCTTTATTTTCATGAATTGGAGATCGCTGAATCACAACGGCAGTCTCATCTATTGCCGTGAACATTTTGGCTTGTCTACTGGCAACAACGTGTGCCAGTAGTAACAAGCTGTAACCCAACTGGACCCCAAGAACATGAGGCTGTCGATCCAAAGCAAAGCAGGAAGATAATGAATTATCCACAGTCTGTTTTTGTCCCTTCAAAATCGAAGTCATCCCATTCTAACAGGCCTGTCGATCCGAGACGCGAAAATGTTGACGTTTTCGTTAGGGTCATGGAGGTCACTCGGCATTTTACTTCATCCACCTGTTACATATACTGTATGTAAAGCCTTGACCATAGGTCAAGTGCAAAGTCGCATGCGCGCGCCTTTCCGGAGCCTTTGGGAAACCGATGCAGCGGAACATCTCCATCCAATCGGCCAAACTTCCCCTGGCACGGTGCGTAGGCGCAGTACTTGGATCCAGAAGCAGCCATATCTCATGCGACATTCCGATCCAATGGTCCCATCGGTCGGTTCCGAGTAGTTCCGTGGCCAAATACCAGGGCAGATGGTTTCCGCGACGTGAAAGACGCCGCCACAGAGTGCCCAGTCTTCTTAGTATGAGGTATTAGGGCAGGAGTACCTGTGAGCCTTAAGACTGCAATGCGCATGCGCATACGATCCAAGCCTCGGGCGCGGTACCTTGTCGGCGACCAGAGTTTTCAGTTCCCTACCGGCCATCCTGGAGGACGGATCCAAGAGAGGCAAGCGGAGCGGGAGGCAATGGGATGACCAAATGTGGGTCCCCTTAATCGGAAGGAAGCCTACTTCTAGACGACTACCTGAGCTACTTCAACTGGGAGTGCGAGATCCGGTCGGTGGGATTTTCAACCGAAAACACGTTGGAAGGGGACCGGTGTATCTTCACTTCCGCCAGGCTCTCTCTCTCTTTCTTCCCATTCGCGCGTTTCCATCGATGACCCGATCGCTTCTCCTGGCTCGTAGGTCGTCGCTTCGGTGGGGACGTGCCTCATCGTTCCGCTGCAGTTCGGCAATCATTAAGTATCAGTACTCGCGATTTCCGATTATATGTGTACTGTAAGAGATTTGTCATCGGTGTCGAACTGCGAATTGGAATCAGTCTGCGTTTTAGTGCGTGCACATTGCTTTTGGTCTGGTTCGTGCATGCACATTGCTTTTGGTCTGGTTCGTGCATGAAGGTCTTCTAAGTATTAAGATACGATATCTTTTCGGTCCTCACGTTCTTGTGGATTTCATGGAAGGATTTCTCTCGCTAGTTTATTTACTTATTCCGTTTGTAACGGAAACGGCTTCATTACGGTTATGTCGTATTAATCGTTCGCAGACGATGCTGAAGGATCATCTGCCGCCACATCCTCATGATTCGTGATCGCGAAGCTAGATGAGGATGAAGTAGATAAGTGGCTGTCCCCAATCGTTTAAAGCGTTAGACCGTGTATTGGATACTTTTGGAACGGAGACGATAAAAAAAAATATTGAATGAAGGGAAAAGAGCTAAACGTGCCATCCTTTTAATCTTCTTCCCTGTCACAGTAGAAGCTTTTATTTGATCCCCAATTTCTGCTGCATGAAATGAGTCCCAAGGCGACGCGACGGAGACCGGAGGGCTCCGAGCGGGGTGCCGATCACGTGGTCTCGGTCTGTCCGTTGATCCGCAGGGTGGAGCTGCAGGCGCGCGCCCGGTCGTGCATCGGTGGAATTCATTTAGAATCCCGAAAGTTGAGAGTTTCACTGAGGTAGCAGGAACTTTTCGACTGAAAGTGGGCTGCGGTTTATAGTGACGGGAAATTTTGTCTCTCCGTATTCGCGACGTCTAAGTTACAATTAAGAAGAATCAATTGCAATAACGTAAAACGAAGTAAAAAGGAAAAGTGTCGTCTCTAAAAGTCCAGGATTGTAATTAAGTGGAAACATCGCAGTAACGATTCATTTCTACCCACGAACCATGCGAATTCCTGCTGGACGCACTTTTACTCGAAATCCAAGAACGTCTCATGCTTCAGAGGGCTCGGGGGGGGGGGGTTGAGTGCCTCTTCCTATGATTGGAGGAGAAAAATTCCTGCAGCCCTTCGCTCACCGTCCCCGAACTCCCCGAACAAAAAAAAAAAGAACAGTCGAATAGCGCTGTTGGATTTTGTGATATCCAACGTGCTGCCCCCCTTCGGAACGAGTAAGGGTGAAGCCGATCGACATTCAATCATGCAGATGGAGATAAGACCCAATTTCCTGGAGTCGTATTGGAGGGTGGGGTCGATCTGCGGACGACGCCCGGCTCGAGGTCTGCAATTCTTCAGTCCACGAGCATTCTCTCCTGGAGTATTCCGTTCTCGTCCGTCGGCGAACATGGAAGAAGATAGAAAGTCGACCGCGGGTGATCTGCTGATGAAGGTGATGGCGTTGGCCGGGTTCCGCGGGTTCCTTCCCGAGGGATGGATCCACGGCTGGGGACGCGTCTACTGCCTCCTCCTCACAGCCCTCGACGTCTCTCTCATGGGCCTCTCGGCGTATTACATATACGTCCAATCCCTTGCCGAGAAGGAATTCATACGTCAACTCATACCCATGGTGCAGGAGGCATTCATCGTCGCTAACCTCGCTCTGGCGGTGTTGGACGTAAGGATGCAGTGGCGTTTTCCCGCGCTTCTCCGTCAAGTGTCTGCTCTGGAGAAGAAGACTCCACCGTCCCCGACCGATCCCAGCGGTGATGCACGACAGGTGACGGGCCGTGGAGCTACTCTCCGCGCATGCGCAGAAGAGAGCTTGACCCCACCGCAGTCGGAACTGCGCAGATTCCTTGCGGCGGTCGTGGTCGTTGGGTTTTTCATCTTCGCCTTTGCATTCGTTGCTCACGTCGAAATAGTATTTCGGAAGGGAAGAGCTTCGATATGGGCTTTCCTCGCTCAACTGGCCAATATTCACATGTACGTGCGATTCACCTGCATCCCCAGCATGTTTTTCGTCTACGCCTGTCGACTTTCCACCCTCACGTTGCGTGTCGGGAATTCCACGCTGAAGAATTTGCAGCCGCGGAGCCGAGAGTGAGTCCACGGACGCATCCGTCCGATCCCGAAAGGCCACTCGTAACCCCCAGCATCTCCCTGCAGGGCCCACGAACGGGCGAAGAGAGTCCTGAATCGATTCGACGACGTGAAGGCCTTCGCAGAGGAAGTTTCTCGTCGCTTCGCGGCCTTTCACCTCCTGAGCTCTCTCTTCACGATCGTCTTCGTCACCCTGCAGTTGTTCGATCGGTCGAACGGATCGAGAGACGACGACTCCTTCTACGCCACGCTCTCCCGCATCCTCGCTTACGTCCTCGTCTTCTTCGCTCTCACTTCGTGCGCCCAGCAAGTGAAACGAGAGGTGCGTCCCTCCGTCAGACCGATTTTGTTTAGAGATTCCGCCAAGTCCACGTGATTTCTTCGTAGGCCGATGAAACCGTTTCCAGGATCCGAGAGATCAGCTGTCGTTCCGCCTCGGACGAAAGCATCATTCGAACGGTAAGCGTGGATGAATTGGTTTTTTTTTTTCTTTTTGTTTCACGGCTCCGTCGCCCGTGACCGTTTCCTCCGTTCAGCTTCAGGTGTTCGTGAGCGAATACGATGTCCACCCGGTGGGATTTTCCAGTGGAAATATGCTGGAAGTGGACCGAAGTCTCTTCACTTGTTCACAGCCTTCACAGCCCTCGACGTCTCACTCATGGGGCTTCTCGTGTATGTTTTCTACAATGCATCTCTCGACAACGAGGAACTCGTGTCTCGATTGGTGCCCATCATGCGGATGGTTTTCGGCGCCGTCACCTTCGTTTTGGCGTTGTTGGATGCATGGATGCAGTGGCGCTTTCCCCAGCTTCTCCGTCGCATGGCCGCTCTGGAGAAGACCCCAGCGCCTCTGACCGATCCCGGCGGTGAGGCCCGACAGATGATGGGCCGTGAAGCTACACGCCGCGCATGCGCAGAACGAAGCTTGATCCCTCCGCAGTCGGAACTGCGCAGATTCCTGGTTGCTGTCGTGGTAGTGGGGTTTCTCCTCTTTTCCTATGTATTAGCTGCTCATGTCGCAGTCGCTTGTCTGCGGGGAGAAGATTCGATATGGTTTTACCTCAAGGAACTCACCTACATTCACCTCTATACGAGATTCACCTGCATCCCGAGCATGTTTTTCATCTACGCCTGTCGGCTTTCCTCTCTCTCGCTCCGCGTCGGGAATTCTTCGCTGGAAATTTTTGAGCAGCCGAGTCGAGAGTGAGTCCGTAGAATCCCTTTCGCTTCCCACGACTTCGCAACAGCCGTCGGATCTCTCTGCAGGGCTCACGAACGGGTGAAGCGGGTCCTGAATCGATTCGACGAGGTGAAGGCCTTCGTCGGGGAAGTCTCCAGGCACTTCGCAGGCTATCATCTCCTGAGCTCTCTCTTCATGATCTTCTTCCTCACTCTGGAGTTGTTCGTTCAGTTTGACCGATTCGATGCCAGCGGCTTCTACATCTCGCTCTCCCGGATCCTGGCTTACCTTCTCGTTTTCTTCGCCTTCACATCCTTTGCTCAGCAAGTGAAGCGAGAGGTTGGTTCCTGCAGAAAAACAAAGTTCTCTTGGAGTTTTCCCAGATGATCGATTCGGTGCGATTTTTTTTTTTTTGTAGGCTGATGAAACCATCTCCAGGATCCAGGAACTCGGCTGTCGGCCTGACTTGGACGAGAATATCGCTCGAACGGTGAGTGTGGAGAAATTGCAATTTTTAGTTATTTAATTGCACCATTATGAGTGATCGTCTATCCGTTTAGCTTCACAAGTTCGTGAGCGAATACACCGTCCACCCGGTGGAATTTTCAGCCGGAAACATGCTGGAAGTGGACCGAAGTCTCTTCACTTCCGTGAGTGTGTTTCAAGCGCTCCCTTTTCCATTCGCGGAGAAAAGGTGAATACGATTTCGTTTTCCCGGATTGCAGATCGTAGCTTCGGTGGGGACGTACCTCGTGGTCCTCCTCCAGTTCAGCCATCCGTGAAAATCAGTACTTTTGATGCTCCCTGATACGTATAGAAATTTCCCTCTTCGTTTCCCTAGACGTACACGACTGAAGTGTACTCTTACGGTAATCAGAGAGGGGAAAGGAGGAATTAATACTGTGTGTTCCTCCTGAAGTGTGAAGAAGAGTTACGGGAATCTTGTCCCATTTTGTTCAAACATTTCCTACACCTTTCTCCTCCTTTCATCACGATGTGTTACGATGAATCGAAACCATATTAATTATTTCATAATCTTTATGAAAATACCTTTCTTTTGGTACCTTGTTAATTCTGATATTGAATGTTGATGGAAATTACTTTGACTTTTGCGACATAATTTTATGACGTAGTTAATGACAATTTAAAAATAAATCGAGGGAAAATACACGATTTAGTCAAGTATTAATTTCTAAGTGATAATGTTAATATCTTGTCATTGTAAGGATGGGACAACCTAGGAACCGACTGGGATAAACTCAGGAAACCAAACTCGTAAAAATCCAATGAGGTCACAAGGTCCTGACGACTTCGGATAGATTAAGCCGGGTCGACCTCCAAATTAGCCAATAGGATGTAAGTTGTCCTGGTTCTGTATCCGATCCGGATCCCGGATTTTGAGGAAGGTACTCTGGCTCCTCCCAGAGGTACCGAGGATATCGGCAGGAAACTTAGATGGCGGAGTGAGTCGCCATTTGGAAGGCATCGCTGTGAACTTACCAGATCCGAAGCTGACTCCAGGACGACCAACAATCTGTCAGATTAGCCTTGTTACCTGAGTTTTGTGAGGAAGTGTGGCCTGAGCGAGAGAAGGAAAGATAAAACAGTAAGGTAAAGAATATCCAGGCAAGGCCAGAAGTTTGCCTTGTCGGGTCCTTCTCCCATCCGGTTTTCTTTATTATACTGATTACTGCCATCCTTTTTAAGAAGTTCCGTTTCGTTTGAAGTGCGTTAAGAAGACTTTGGTAGAATTATTGTTGATTTTCTTAAATAAGTACAGTGTATGACTGTTTCTTTTTTATAATTAATTATTGTCTTCATTTGTAATAAACTTAAGTACTTTATACACGAGAGTTCCAGTTTTTCCGAACTTCAGTCAGGTTCGGATCCGCCTTTACCACTCGAATCGACGACAAAACAAGGGATTAAATAGTATCGATCGCTTGTTACGTCACAATTACGATGGACTGTTTCTTTGTATGCCGATTGTATGCCGAAGTGTGCTTCTTCCGTTGCCTTTCTTCTAATTCAGGCACGAACGTCACCATGGTGTCAGTCCTACAACGAGAACTCCCTTTTTTTCTTCGGAGTAAAAGACGAGAATCGAACCCAAATGACGTTATATTCGGAGAAATCTTTGCCAGATATCACTTGGGCCCCTTGCCGACGGTTTCTTGCAGGAGCTTGTTATACTCGACGATCTTCTTGAAGACGCCGTGCTTGAGCGCGCTCGTGTCCCCCTCCGCCTTCTTGCTCGAGATGTAGGTCCGCATCGCGAAGTTCGTCTGCTCCTGCGAGGCCCACTTCTTCTCCAGGTTCTCTAGCTGGGTCCAGGCGTCGCTTTCCTTCAGCTCGGCCTGCGGGGAGGGGGGAACTTAGAGAGTGCAACGTTTCGGGAAGTCCATTTTCGTCACAGAAATACCTTGAGTTTGTTCACTGATGCCTGGAGTTCGTTTGCCGTCTTGCTCATGGCGTCGTGTTCTCGACGAAGGCTTTCTCGTTCCTTCAGAAGCGACTCTTCCTTTGCTTTAGCCTGTCGGCGAGAGACACGGCGTTAAGTTTTGGATCTGTTTCGTTCGACACGCTTTAGGGACCTGCAGGTGTACCTTTTCTCGGAGGCCATTGACGTCGGAGAAAGTGACCAGATCCTCTTCCATCTGCTTCTGCTTGGCTTTGAGGCTCGTCAGTTCCTCTCTCACTTTGTCCTCGAGAGTTTCGATCTGTCGTCAACGAATGGGTGGAACGAACGTCCAAACGCTTGGAATATCTTTGGATGGGAATAGAAAAGACAGACCTTTTCGAGACTTGCGAGAAGGACTACCCTCTCCTCTTGCAAGCCCTCCACCGTATTACGGGCCTTATTCAGTTCCCCCTCCTTGAAGTTCAGATCCTCCTTCATCGCCGAGAAATCGCCCGCGCTAAAAGGATAAAGAACGGCATCGGTAGGCCTCCAAGTATCGCTCTCTGCACGTGGAGGCTGCGAGCACGTGACGAGCGCGTGTTCCATGGGCCTCACGCGATTGGAGGAGAAGCTACGACTGGCCTTCGCCGCGATTGGAGGAGAGATTTCTCGGTTTTCGTACCTGGGCAGATGGGTGAAGTGGGCTAGATTCCTAGAGGTCGTGACGAGCTGTTGCACGATGGATTCTTCCAGGGATGAGATCCTGGACTCTTCGTTCGCTTTTGTCGCTTGGAAATTGTCAAGGAATTCGTCCATCGTCTCTTCCCGTCTTCGCAGTTCCCGATACTTCTGACTTCGTTCGCTCTGGCTCTCTTCCACTTCCTGCATTTTCAGTCATCGGTTGTCTTTTTTGCTTTTCATATTGTATGTCAATTTTGTGATTTTTTTCCCCCACCTGTTCTAGTTGAAGGAGCTCATCTTTGAGAATCCTGATTGCCTCTTCCAGCCCTGCTGCTTGTCGTTCCATGCTCGCGATTTCCACGTTGTCGTTCTTAACCTGAGTGGTCGCCATTCACAACATCTCGATGAATAATTTTGCCAAACCCCGCCCTGAACTTTGGCGAGAGAACCAAAAATGCGAGACAGACTTGGAGAAGAAGGCGTTCCCGTTCTTGCTCCGGAGTTCCCCTCTGACTATCTTCGGACTGGAGTTTGTTGAGTTGCTCCTGCATTTCGCTCAATTGAGCGTAGAGACCCACTGCCTCTTGCTTCACCTACAAGTAATTATGGATAATTGAAAATCCAACCAGTTTTTCATCATCGTTCTCTTTAAAAAAAAAAAGCTTTTCCTTCATTCTTTCGGATAAATTGTTCCACACATCCGCGTTGCCGTACCTGTGAAAGGGAGAGTTCTACCCCCAGCTGATTCTTCCTCGTCTCAAGCGCATCTATCTGCTGCTGGAGCTCCTCGAACCGAGCCAGCAGCCGAGTGTTAGCACCCTGGAGCTCGGAGTACTTCTCCTTCATGGCTGGCTGCAGCGCAGCGATCATCGTGTCCGACATGTGCCTCTCCTACAAGCATGCATTTTATTCATATTTTTATTTCATATTTCAAATATGTGAATTTTTTTTCATTTTTGTTGAATTTTCTTAATTTGTCAAATATGAAAATAATAACAACAATAATAAATATATATTTAAATATCGAATTCATTCATGATCAATTTTTATTAAATTACTTACATTAATATATATATATATTTCTCACGTTCTGTTCTTACCTGCTCGATGTCGTTCTCCAGCTGCTGGATGGCCCGCTCCTTCTCCTGCCGCTGCAGGAAGAGCTGATCCACCTTCGCCGCCTGCTCCTCGTTCCTCTCCTTGAGCTCCCGGATCTCCGCCTCCATCTCCTCCTTGTCGCCGTCCGTGTTGAGCTTGTCCACCAGGAGATTGTAGTCTGCTAGCTCGCCTTGTAAGTCTGTGCGCATTTTTTTCATTTTTCTCAATTTGTTTAATATTAAATATAGTTTTTGCATCCTCGGTTTTTGCTTTGTTCGTTAGCATCTTTTTTTTTAAATAGCCTTAGAAACTGGAATTTCAAAATGGAAGTTATGTCATTTTCGTTCAATCTGAGTGATTGCCGAATCATCATGATTACATATTGAATTTTATAAATATAAGTGTGCATTTAATATTTAACGTTAAACCAGTTTTCGGGGAAATTAAAGTTAGCACACGAGTGTGTGATATGTTACTACCTGTTACTTATTCAGGCAAATGTTTGTCGGTAAGTATTTACGAGATCATTTGAGTTATACCGTTCCACTCAGAGGCGAGTTCCTTCACGCGCTTGTCGTAGATGAGATAGGTGGACTGCTCCTGGTTCAGAGATTCCATCTCCCGATTCATCTTCCCGATCTCGGTCTGGAGTTCCTGGATCCGGGTCCGGAGGAGCCCGACGAAGTAGCTCTTGTCCTGGACCTGGCGCTGGGGGCCGCGGGACCCGGCCGTGCGGAGGCCCGTCAGGCCCTGTTGCGTGATGGGGCGGTCGACCACGTTCAGCTGGAAGGAGAGGGGAGGACGAGGTGGTTGGGTTCGAGTATTGTTAATTTTGAACTGTTGTTGGATTCGAGTAAGGGCAGGGTGGAGAAAGAGGGAGTAACCTGAGCGCTGAGACTGAGACCGGTGGCGGGTCGGGTGGTCGGTCGAAGGGACATCTGCGTTGCGAGCCGGGAAGCCGTGCCGGGCCCGGTCACGGGTCGGTTGAACGACGACCTGTCGCTGCCGGTCGTGGGTCGAGCCGAGCCTTGTCGGGTCGCGGGGCGGGAGGCGAGGTCCCCCGGGCGGTAGGCTTGGCTCTGGGCGGTGAGGGGTCGGGCGTAGAGGCTCTGCTGGGTCATGGGACGACCGTCCTCACCCATGCCCACGCCCACGCCTCCACCCACTCCTCCACCCAGACCGCCCTGGGTGATGGGTCTTGCGATGCTCTGTCTGGTCACGGGGCGGCTGGCGTCGCGAGTGTTCCGTCTTCCGTCTTCCCAGTCTCCACCGCCCCATTCCTGTTGGAAGGTTCGCGATCTCATCGGGGGAATCGAGAACCGGTGCGACCGACGCCACTTTTTTTTTTTATTCTCGCGAGATGCCGATGTGACCTCGAGGTGAGTCTGGGTCACGCGGAACAAGGGACATAATTCTGCATTTCTGGGAGCGATTTCCGTCGTACTCGTGCGATGGTCGGGGTCGATACGTGAAAGGTCTTGTCGGATTCGTTCGGGTTTTACATTTTGAAGATAACATGAGGAATCGGAAATCGAACCCGGACCGGTTCGCATTTTTGAGCTCCGAGAGGAGGAAATTATCTTAACACTCGGTCCCCGAGTCGATGAGACCGAAACGAGCTATTTGGTGGGTGCTACAAAAACCAAGTCGTTCCGAAATTAGTTGTACATAAATGGGAGAAGTCCTTCGGAAAGCCCATCATCTAAAACCTAAAAAAAAAAGAAATTCCTTCGGTGAAGTGAACCCTTCCTCACAAGCTCCATCGGAAGAGGGGTATCCCCGAGCGTCCGCCGCCAAGCCAAGCAGAACATTGGCTTTTTCCCCTCTACCATCGAGCAAACACTAATAGGGACAACTCGCAAAACCTTTTCTTTGGGTCTTTTTTTTCATCGCCTGTCACCACGCTTCTTCCTCTTCTTGCAACGGCAAAAGTAGTGCTACTACTTCTCGCTGCAGTGGCGGATATAGAAATTTTTCATAGGGGGGGCGGTTCCAAAGTTCCTACCTACCCCTCCCCCCCCCCCCCCCCCCAAAAAAAAAAAAAAGCGGTCCAGCCACTTGAGTTTTTTGTGGTGGACCTTATCCTCTCCTTCATATTTTCGTCCGCGAAAGGAGATGGCTAGAACTGGAGGAAGCCCCAGCTTCTTCCACAATATGCATGGTAATAGGGATTGTACAGTGTTTTTCACTTGAGTTAGACACACGTGCATTGGACGTTCCTCATGCATCGGTGTCGAAGTCAAGCGAAAAAGTGTCTAACAGAACTGAAAAACACCGTAGTAATAGTCGGAATGGATAGGTCTACCCACCCCCCGTAACTGGTCTCATCGACTCAGAAACTGGATGTTTACTTTTGCAGTATTCTATTTGTATCTTTGCAAAATAGCTTTTCGAGCCCTACGATGCCTCCAGACAGTATTGCTCATGGAGTTTTCGTCCCAGGCGAAGGAATCGGCCGGGATGAAAAGATATTGTGACGGATGAGGATGGCATCGAGAGGCACGACTGAATGTCCCGGGTTCGGTGGTGTAGTGGTAGCACACCTGACCGGCAATNACGACTGAATGTCCCGGGTTCGGTGGTGTAGTGGTAGCACACCTGACCGGCAATCAGGAGGCCCGGGTTCAATTCCCGGCCGTTCCTTGGCTTCTTTCGTCCTCTCATGCCTTCCGTCGTCCGTCTCCCCATTTCCCCTCCGTAACAATATCATAGGCAAGGAATTGACGATTCTGGCACAAAAGCTTCATCTCTCGATCGTTCAAATCACGACACATTTCTCATTCCGCCGCGTTTGCAAACATTTAGCGGAACCTCACGAGAAGCAACATTTTGAAAACCTCATGAAAATGGATTACGAGTACTCGTACATCGTACCTGAGAGGTCGTGGGGCGCGACTGATGCATGAGCGTCTGCTGGGTGAACGGGCGGACGACGTCGGCCGTCTCGTCCCTCCCTCCTCGGGTCACCGGACGGCTCCCGGTCGTCACCGGCCGAGACACTGAAACGATCCAGCATCAGTCGAGGGCCACGCGAGGAAGAAGGCCACGCGAGGATTTACCTGACGACTTGGAATCCTCCCAGTCCATCTTCGTTGGCACCGAGGGGCACGCACTGTGTCGAGGCGGGGGGCCCGCTCCGTTGCCATGGCGACGGGATCGATCGCTCTCTCGGAGTCATGCGAGAGGGCGTGAGTATTCGTTCGGTCGATCGAGCGGATGTGTTCGAATGACGCGAGGATTTAGGATGGGTTCTATATGCATTTGAAATTAGCGTGCCCTCGAGGGAACCGGAAGCATTTATTCGTGAATGCCGGAGTCAATAACCCTCATAGAACCGAGAGAGATTTCTTTCCTTTCCCTCTCGTTCCTGCTTCTATCCGTGCATATAAGAGGCGGATTTCAGTGACGGAGAGCGAAGTTTCCAACTATGAGATCAACGTCCAAACGTTTAGTTGAATATGTCACAATCCAAATTTTTAAAAGAAAGGGGTGTACTTTTTTTTATTTGATTATGTGTCTGTCCTTTATCGTCGCGCACTGCGCCATCAGGTCAGGTCGTGATATCGATTTTCGATGGTTTCGATTGGGTATTCAGAATTTATCCTGTGAATATTTGATGTGAAAAAAAATGCAAGACCTTCCCCTACCCCTCTCGGGGTAGGGGGAGGCCCCACACCACCTCCAGTATAAACGCCGAGCGCCAGGCGATGAAAGTCGGTGTGTACCCATATTCGAGCCTGGGTGAGGCGGCGGCCAGGCTCGAAGCCTGGCCTCCCGGACGGCACGCGGACGCTCTACTCGGTAGGCCAACCGCCGGTTGGGAATACATGCGAAACTTGGGACGAGTCTATGGATGGCAAGGGAAACGGGGGGAGGAGAAGCACGGCCTTGGGGGGTGGGGGAGGGGGGTAAGCAGGCAGGTGATCCTTGTCTGGGTTAGTTGGCATTGCGTGTGATGTGGTTTTTCTTAGCTGTAGTGGTTTTCAGACCGAGGGCGAGCGTTAATCGTGCTGAAACTGTGACTGGGTTTCTTCCATGACTCCACCTTCCACATCCGGCGCAGTCGTTGTGAAAATTACGATGATCGTTCTTAACGCACGGATGCTGAAAAAACTCGAGCTCTCGGCGGAGCCAAGCCATGAATTGTCGTTGTTATATCGGGATGAAACTAACGCACATAGGCTTTGCACTCTTACTTAGATATTCCTTCTCTTAGTTCCAAGGGAAGTGATTCTCATCGTTCTTGTAGGTCATGATGGCGTCATTTATATGTGCTAGTATTGCTTGGGTTGGCCATCCCCATCATAGAGAGAGTGTAACTAGAAGTGACAGTAGGGGAAGGGTCGAAATATTACAGAAACATCTGGTCGCTTGTTATCGACAACACTTCCATGAGGCGTGCTTCATGGTAGCGGAATCGGGAATCGACTCGTTCGGCGATTCGACCCAAAGGATCCATCAACACTGCTCGGCCATGGTAGAAGTTGATGTGCGCACGTCAGGTGGAGGATCGACAGGGATCGTTTAAGGGTAAGCACCCCGGTTTCTGGTCGGTCTCCAGTTGTGAGGCTTAGATCCAACATAATTAGTTAATCTGGCCGTTATTCAAGCATTCTATCAACATCTTCCCGTACGAGGACCTATTAGTGTCTCCCGGTGTGCGCAGAGGGTGTCCACTTATGGGAGTCGTGTCAGCGTGGCCAAAAAAGTGGGATGTTCACCCTTTTGCGACCCTGTCAATGAGTGTAAGTAGAGAGTATAACTATAGGCGACACTCCGCTCGAATCCCATTCATTGGCAGGGTCGCAATATAGATGTCGCTGTCGATCCTCCACCTAGCGGCCGCACATCAACTCCTCCTCCATGGCCGAGCAGCGGACTCAACGAGACACGCGTGTTACGTTGATGGATCCCTTTGCGTCGAATCCCCGAATGAGTCGATTCCTGATTCCGCTACCGCGAAGCACGCCTCAAGGAAGTGTTGTTGATAACATGCCACCAGATGTCTCTGTAATATTTCGACCCTCCCCCCACCCCTTGGAGTGTCGCCTCTAGTTACACTCTCTATGATCCACATCGGCCATTGGCCAATGTGGAAATGCCTCCATTGAAGAGGCCTCATTTCCCTCGTGGCAACACTATGGGCCAGGGGTGTGCAACTTTATCGACAGTGGGCCGCATGGAAATGCCTGGGGCTCTTCACGCGGGCCATGGAATGCAGAAGAATAAGGCTCCCTCCTTTGGCCATGAGGGCACAAGGTCGCGCTGATTGGCCGATGATCCTTACCCCCCCTCCCCTAGGAAATTCCAACGCACAAAATTAGCCTTTGGCATTGGGAACCTTCATTCCTCGAGACATATTAGCGCCCCCGTGTGAGGAATAATCAGACTGAATCCTTTCACTTCCACCTATTTAGTTTAGTTACTAAGGGATGACCAAAGTTTTGATGCGCCTTGGGCCAAAAATTATTTTATGTTATCCCATTATGCATTAAGAAGCAGGCCCGCGGGTTGCACATCCCTGCTACGGGTGATTCTTTCCTGGATGTGAATCATGCTCCTGGTGACATTGGACTCCACGTCATGGATGACGTCATCGGTCACGTGATTCTTTCTTCATCAGCAATGGTCGTAGGAAATTGATTCTTTTATCGTGGAATTAGAGGTCCCAGACGATATTCTGCTTATCGGCAGAATTGAAGCGCGAAGGAAGTAATAAATAATGATGAGATCCTACTCTTCGAGCGAGTCCGTCAGGGACCTAATCCAATTCCCTCTCCTCTCTTTACAAGTTTCTGAATGAGATGGATTGTCTCGAGTGTGCCCTTACTAACCAGCAGAGTTCCACGCGCTTATGGGTTTGGGTCAGGGTCCAGTTGCCTAATAGGGAATATGTGCTTCAGATTTCGAGTGCACTTGATAACACTGGGTCAAAGGTAAAAAAAAAAAAAGCGGGGAGATAGCGGTGTCATCGAAGAACTCCTTGGTTGTGAAGGTGGGAATGGTTTTATCACCCGTGTCGGGGCTCAACAACGCAGAATCGACAAATTATACTTGCAAGATCATTTCCATTGGGAACTTTTCAGTATTTATTTTAGACAAACTGAAAATTATGCATAGTACTGCAACCTCCCCTACGAGCACGTAATCGATAATTAGACACGAGTGCAATGGACTGAGGAGTTCCGTCATTAACGAGGGATACATTCTCACTCCAATCTGTTTATATTCTATTTTATATCCAAGGATGTTCATGCGCGTAATGACCTCGCCGTCACACACAATAATACCGAGACGAGACCCGAAGTCGTTCGTGATCCATTCACACTCCACGAGTATTGAGATCGAAGGAAAGCGAATCCGCCGCCGCCTGCGTGAGATACACGATGATGGAGACCTGCTTCGCCACGGCCTCCACGTCCCATGCCCCCGCGGCCAGCAGGTCCATGAGCGCGCCGAACGTGTCGCCGGCATAGCTGTCCGAGCTGCTCGACGCGAACACCACGTGCCTGTGACGACGGGGAGGGATTTCATCGATGTCCATTTAAATTCATGCAAATGGGACAGTCATAGCATATAAATAGTGCCATATACGATTACACAAGGAAATAAATTCCTGTCTCGCCGACAGCACGAACGAGAACACCGACGAAATTTCGTTTTCCAAGCCATAACTACCCAATGATAAATTATTTGTTTACGAATCATGATAAACGAATGCTTTCAGACCTGGAAGGAGAGACTACGTTGGTGTCGACGAAAGCCCGTTCCAGCCACATGAGCTGGTCGTTGTAGCAACGCACCGCCCACGCACTCCCGGGAAAAAAACAAACAAAGGTTTTCAAAATTTCCCTCACGACTTATATTCAAGTTAGAAACACGGGTGCAAGCGTCTTTACTCGTTAGGGTCGATCCCGGATCGGTACTCCCCGTGGAAGTATTCGGCGGCTTGCGTCAAGTTACTCACGGCCGATCGCCACGCATCTGCCGGTCAGATCACGAAAACAAACGGCAAAAAAATTAAGACGAAGGACGTGCAAGATGAAGATGAAAAGGTTCTCGAGAATCTTTTCCATCTGCATGTTTAAAAAAAAATCAGAAAGTGGACAATAAAACCAAAAGTAGAAAAAATAACTAATGAAGCATCCACACCACCGGTTCATGTTGATAAAAGGAGGCACCTCCACGAATATTTAACCCTAACCCTAACCCAGCCCAGCCCCCCCCCCCCCCCCCCCCCCCCCCCCCCCCC